TCCCGAGGCCCCGGCTCCAGGGCCATCCGTGAGCCCCTCAGGCAGCCGACACCTCAACAGCCGGCTTCTTCCGAATGCCAGCCCGGCTGCAGAGCGGGTTGTTCCAGGGTTTTAAGGTTCTGGGTTGAGTGTTGCTCAGCCAGGGCTATTGCTGCATGGTAGTCACCCTCTGGTACCGCTTTTAGGAAAGGGCAGCTGTGAGGATTGCAAGAATCACCTGCACGGAGGATTTTTTTTTAGAATAAATTCTAGTTGATGTAATATTTGTGTACATGACGATGACTTAAGTAGAGCAGGCCTGGGCATTTATTCAGAAATATTACTACATGCTGTTATGTCATGAGAAATTTACTTTTACTGCAAAACTCTTTTAGATTCCTTTTTTCATTTGTTTTTCACATCCACTGCAACTTGTGGTAGGCACCCTTTCTCTCATCCAAATTTAAAATGTAGACCCTTGCTTTCAAGGCCAAGAATAAGAATATCTCTTCTGGGGGCTTCCTCAGTTGGTCCCAGCTTTATTTACCTGTGGCTCTGCTGGGGGAGGACAGGTAGAAAAACTGATTTCTGAGTCTTATAGCTCAGTCACGTGTTGCCTGTCCTCATCTAAGTTAGAAAGGGAACAGGTCTGTGGGTATACACGGCAAAATAGCAGCCTGGTCTGCGGGGAGGAGAGTCCTGGGTGCGTAGTCCTGCTGCTGCCAGTGCACGTTAGGTAGCCTGTCCTACCCTGTACACCAAGCACCATTGAATTAAAGCAGTTGTGTTCTGCCATAGCCATCTGATGGGATCAGCGAGGGCACCATTGAGGCCTTAAGTCTTAAATTGTACAGAGAATAAATTTAAGACAAAGCATGGCCTGTTTTATAGTAAGGATTATGTGATGTGATGGCTGTGGTGGTGTAAGATGACTTGGCTCAGCAGGTCACTTCTCATCCAGTCTTCTGAATGTATTAGCTCACATACTTTGCTTAAGCCTCCCTGAATTAATTTGGAATCAAAGATCCTGCCTTTTCCGTTTTAAATGCAAGCGAAAGGAGGCGCTCAGTTAAGTGAAAAGGTGACATTTGCATAGCTAGGGTTTCCTTCTAGGCAAAAAGATGTAATGTGATTGTGAAACTTGTTTGGAAAGTCACTGAGGCCAAAAAAAGAGTCCTGGATAGCCTGGTCTGTCCTTCATAAAATGTATGTTAAATGTCAGCGGTTTTCCAGAGACACATTAACACGGAGTGAGAAGATTTCAGCTGTGAAATTGTAATTGGGACAGCCAGTGCTTACTCCTTTTAAACACCACCAGCCTGTAAAACATTAGTCTGTTCTGTCATGAGGTGTGTGTTTGTCCTGGTTACACCAGGGATAGAGTTAATTCTCTTCCTAGCAGCTGCTATAGTGCTGTGTTTTGGATTTAGGAGAATATTGTGGATAACACACTGATGGTTTTAGTTGCCAAGCAGTCAAGGACTTTTCAGCTTTTCATACTGCCCTGCCAAGGAGGAGGCTGGGGACATGCAAGGAGCTGGGAGGGGACACGGCCAGGACAGCTGACCCCAACTGGCCAAAGGGATATTCCATACCATGTGACGTCATGCTCCGTATATAACGCGTGGGCTGAGAGGTGGGGCAGCTGGGGGGTCTTGTGCAGCATTGACTTTGAAGTGATGGCATTTGTCTTCCCAAGTAACTGTTACGCATGATGGAGCCCTGCTTTCCTGGAGACGGCTGAACACCTGCCTGCCCATGGGAAGTGGGGAATGAATTCCTTGTCTTGTTTTGCTTGTGCGTGTAGACTGGGAGGCTGTGCAGCTGGGGGTCATGCATAGCATCGACTTCGGGTGATAAGAAATTGTGCTATTCGTCACTTGTTTTGTATATGTTATTATTTTCCTTTTTGTGTTTGTCCTATTAAACTGTTTTTATCTCAACCCACGAGTTTTCTCACTTCTACTCTTCCAATTTTCTCCCCATCCCATCACGGAGGAGTGAGCGAGCAGCTGCATGGTGCATAGTTGCCAGCCGGAGCTAAACCACGACAGTGTTAAACTTGAAATCCTGACTCAGAGTTTCAAAAGTCACAAAATGAGATATATTTGAGGGCGGAGGAGGGCAAGAAGTGGAGGAGGAAGGATTACCATGAGCCCGCCTCCTGCAGACTTCTTATCCCGCCCTCTCATCCACGGAGCAGGTGGAAAACTGCTGTTCCTGTCTGACCTGGAGCCACGAGGCCTCTGCTCCTTCCTCGGGACAGGAGTACCTGGGCCGGCCTTGTTACTGCACAGGCTGGCTGGGCTGGACTTGTCTCTGATTTGGTGACTGAGTCAAACTTCCAAGTTTAACATCCCTGTGACATTGGTTTCTGTTTTCCTGATCCTTGTAGGTACTTTTTCTGGTATGAAAAATCTGTTCCAGGATTTCTCTCATTCTAAAAGCCATTTAAATCAATGTCATGAATACTTATTTCTATTTAAAAAACTTTTAAAATGAAAGTTCTTTTAAAGAAACCAACCCAACTCTTTTATATGTATGTCATATTGTAAAGCTGTTTTCAACATCTGTTATTATCTGGTGTAATAATTCCCAGATCAGGGGCTCCCAAGTAGCATTGGGAATCTGCTGAAAGTAGGATTTGTGGAAGGGGATCCGCACTGAGATTGGGGGTCACACGCCTAGAAGCAAACCTGGATGTGAGGCCAACTATAAAAACAGTGGAGCTGCCGATGCGTTTGACTCGCGTGCGGAGTGTTTGCTGTGGTGATTGCAAATGTGAATTGTTGAGGATACTTATTCCAACACCCCACCATTGTGCCATCCGTTACTGCAGTTCTGCTGGTTTGGATACAGGACCTGGGGGCTGTTGGAAGCCGATGAGCAGGGTGGGAGGACTCTCCTCCCTTCATTGTTTCTGATCCCATGTTATGGGTAGGACTTGTCCCTGGGGCTGTCGCTTGTGACAGGAGCCTTACCTGCAGCACAAGGGCTTTTGAGATCCACCGTTTGCTCCTGTTCCCTCCAGTTAGTGTGACCCCACTCGGTTACCCCACATCGGATCTGCTGTAAGGGGGGGCCTTGCCGCTGCAGGAGCAGAGAGGGGGTCGTAGAGGACAAACCAAATACTGCAGATACTAAAGCAGTGCAGTAGAACTGACATCTTCTCTTTTCTGATACGAGCAAATTGGCTGTTGTTGTTACCTAGTCAGAAAACATGCTTTTTGAGACATAGTTAAGAGAAATGGAAATTGGAAACTGTATCTGCTGCCGCACCTTAACTGCTTTTATAGGAACTGCTGCAGTAATAATCGAGGGATGTGACTACCCAAGACCTTTAGCTACTTACAGTAATGATGTGCAGGAAGCTGCAAGCACAGCACCGTGGTAAGAGGCTCCTGCTCTTGAGGTAACCACGGGGAACAAATTCTTCTATTCTTCGTTTCTTGGTTAACTCTGGAGTGAGGAGGGCAGAAGCTGCAGCTGGTTTGTTTTGCTTCATTGTATTTGAGGGACCAGACTCGTTCCTTTTGTGAATTCGTGACTGCTAGGTGTTGCTTGGTAAATCATGCTGGCTGCTCTTGTCGTCCTAGAGCCCATCAGAGACAAGCTCTTCGGTTC